CAGCAGGAGCTGTGTCCCTGTTCTAAGGCCCTGCCATGGGCATGCAGGCAGCAGACCTTGCCCTTCCTACCTGCCTGCCACCAGTTCTATTGCTCACTTGCTCTTGGATAAATCTTCTAGTTAACATTTTTTAAATCTGTAAAATAATGATTTAAGCACCTCTCAGTATAGTTATGTGATTTAACATGATGTTTCATCACAGCCATCTCTCGTAGCAGCATTAAATGCAATTGCAACATCTTTTTAATTCCAGTTATTTGAAATGCTGCCTACATTATACCAGCCCCATCTTAGTCTCACCTCCCTGTTTTCTTTCCTCTTTGTCCCTTCAGCTGGGTGGCTTTTGTAGTGTGTGACCTGAGTTGAAATTGCCACATATTTTGCACCATAATTTCAGGTACAAAAATACATACAAGTACATTTTAGTTTTCACAAAGGAAGAAAAGTTTACATTAATTGGATTGCTTATTTTTTATGTTTCTTTGTTGTTGTGGATTTTTAAAAATTATTTTAAAAATATTTGTTCCAATAATATAGAATCATAGAGTGGTTTGGGTTGGAAGGGACCTTAAAGATCATCTAGTTCCAACCCCCCTGCATGGGCAGGGACACCTCCCACTAGATCAGGTTGGTCCAAGCTCCATCCAGCCTGCCCTTGAATACTTCCAGGGATGAGGCAGCCACAACTTCTCTGAGCAACCTGTTCCAGTGTCTCACCACCCTCATGGTGAAGAACTTATTCCTAATGTCTAATCTGAATCTACCCACTTCTAGTATTGATCTATTCCCCCTAGTCCTGCCACTACCCAACATCCTAAAAAGTCCCTCACCGGCTCTCTTGCAGGCCCCCTTAAGATGCTGGAAGGCCACAATAAGGTCTCCTTGGAGCCTTCTCTTCTCCAGACTGAATAACCCCAACTCTCTCAGTCTGTCTTCATAGAAGATGTGCTGTATTTGTTTCATTACCGGTTGTTATCCATGCTGTGTTTTGGTACGGTGTTTAAAAACAGTGCATCAGTATCTTTTATCTTGTGAATGGAGGCTCATGCTAAGCTATGCAGGAAGCAGAAAACTGTCACTTCAATAATGCAATGTCATACATGAAAAAAATTTAAAAAAGCAAACAGGGAGGCAAAAGTTTGGATAGTGGTTGTTGGCTGCTCTCCACTAGGTGCACAGGTAGTATGAGGATCTCTCTGATTTGGAGAATCTACATCTGCACTCTTGAAATAAGCAAAGTTCTTGGTTAGAAACTTAGTACTTTGGAGGAACTGATTGCCAATTTTATAGTTTTGTTGGTCAGTTATTTTTACCATGGAGCTGCTGCTTTTTGTATTTGGATGTGTTAATGGGGTTGTTACTGACACAGTCTTCACAGGACTGCAAGTCTGTGACACTGATTTCTTTGTTAATAGAGCAGCTTTGATTAAAAAGTCAGAGTTCATGACAAAATTTACTGTGGAGTTTTACTGAGAGTGCCTCTGCCCACATGTCCAGCTTTCATTGTACTGCCTGTTGTGGCAGCCAAGTGTGAAGCAGGAAGTTTGTGTATGTCACGATGGGGTGGGTGTTCAGCCTCCACTCAACCAGTTGGTTTAGTACTGGAGGATCTATTACTGCATGTTTATACACACACAGGTAAGGTGATAGTAGTATTAAATATGTATGTAGTTACAGTGTATATATAGGTACAGTGCTGAGAGTTGGTTTGCTTCAAACTTGATCCCTTGTGGACTTCTTACCAAATGGTAATTTTTGCACCAAACGTGCAGCTGTTTTGCCTCTACTGTTCTTAGAAAGACACCCACTCTTAATTAAATGCTTAGGACAACAGCACTAGAAGGGACTTCCTGAGTCAGCATGACCAGTCCCTTGGTATTGCAGGCAATTGAGTTATATAATCTGCTTCATAAATATATCAAGCTTTGTCTTAAAACCATTAGTTAAATCTCTTGTCTCTACTTTTCTGAAATTGCAGTGAAGGGTTTGGTTTTTTTTATTCACGGCTTCGTTTTACTGGTTTGTTCCTGTTCCAGCACTGTTCTTTACTATTAGTAAGTTTTCACTCCATCAAATATTTGTCTTTCCTGTGTTCATGGGAACTGGTCCTGTCCTGTCTTGGTCTCCATTTGCTAGGTGTTGGAGCCAAGCTCTTCCCTTGCTGAAGAAGACAGGTGAGGTGGCCTGTGTTGTGTGTCCTGCTAGCATGGAGGTGCCCACGTGTCACCTGGACAGCCTAGTCTTATCTTACAGATTCCTTCATCCTCCTCTTCCATGAGTAACACGTAGCCACACATTGGGTTGATCGTCCCTGAGAGGTAGGAGCAATAATGGTGGTTTTCCAGGTACAGCTAACTAGTGCTCCCTGCAGTGGTCTGACTGCCCTCCCAGGAGTGTCCCAATGCCACAGTAGTTTGTTCAGAGTCGTAGCAGTAAGATTTATCTGAAGGTGTTGCCTTCCTTGGCTCTGTCCAGTGCAGTCTGTATGACATGAAGTGCCAGGAGGTGGCAGTATGTCAGTCTGCTGTCCTCACACTGCAGATACATCTGGCCCAGAGCCGGTCACTGTGGGGCCTGATTGACTAATCATTGTGTCATCAGCTCCTCCCTCTCAATCCTCCTCATCACAGCAGAAGCAGCTGTCCCCATGTACATGCCCTTACACTCATGTGCTGATCAGTCCTGGTATTACTCCGGTCTTCAGCATCATCCAGTTCTTCTCCTGTGATAGTTTGATTCTCTGTAGTGCTGACTGCACCTCCCAGTCTTGTGTCATCTGCAAGACTTCACAGTTGTGCTTCTTTTCTTGTTGGCCGTGTATGCTGATGGAAATAGAGGACAAGGCAGTTTTTAGATGATCTCCACAATCAGCCCGTCACTTCTTTGTGCACCACTTTCCTCCACCACATCTCCAGTCCCAAGTAAGCATGTCATTAGCCCCATCAGGAGATGTGAATGGCTAGACAGAAGAACTCTGTGTCTTAGGCAGAGTTGGAGAGGGGTCGAGGGTGTGGAACAGTTGCCGCTGCCTCTCCTGGCTGCGCTATGGGACCAGATCATCTTCATGGAAAGCATGGAGTGATCTTCCTTTGAAAAAAGACTCTGAGCCCCCAGAATAGGAATACAGGAGATGGTAATCTTTGCATAAGCCAGAAAAAAAAGACATTTATTTCATAGACAGCATTAAAAGACCAATGAACAATGATAGAGTATCTAGCAGATAAAAGTTGTCTTTTTAACTTCTTGAAGTTAGCAACAGGAACAAAAATCTTTATCTCCAGGCTCTGTAGATGCAGAGGAAATGTTATTTCACTGGCAAGTTGTATGCTTTTATGGAGATGGAAGTGCTCCTTCAGGAGTACATTTGTCTTTGAGGAGGACAGCAATTATTCAGGCACAAGGTGCAACTGAGAGAATTTTTATGTCATGAAACTGTGTGCTGGGTGCTCTTCTGGACTAATAAATTCAGAAAACAAAGCTAAAAGTACAGTTAAAGTGGCATTATAGTATATCAGAAAACAATGGAGAGAAGGAGGAAAGGGTGTTTTGGCTGTTCTAATAAGTGGCCTTGTTCACTGTCAGCTTGATTTGAGGTCAGAGAACTCAAGTCAAGGAAGGCTGATTTTTTTTTTTTTTTTCCTACATTACATGTGTATTTATATGTAAGGATCTTCATGTGAATGGATGATATGTATCTTAAGTATTCAATCTAGAAGTATTAATATAGTCATGCATTCCTAATATAAACCACCTCCTGTTTGCAAGGCTAGTGTGTAATGTAACTTGAACTGTGAATATGGCTTGAACTTCTGCAGTGCAAATGTACAGGTTTTCGTATCACAATGTTCACAAGTGGGGTTGCACAATTGTCAAGCACACCAGAAATGTGGAACCCACAGAGAGACCTTCTCCAACAAGAGACATTGGAGAATATGGTTGTGATTTGCTGAGTTTTATGGTAAGTGCAGGATAAGATGTTGAACAAGCGTGAAATTTGAGATGGGGGAATTACTTATCTGTGCGCTTAAAGTGTCGGGTAGTCGTCAGGCATTTTAAATCGTTGGTAGCTTCATTTCATAGTTGCAGCTGAACTTTGCAGCTTGTGGACTGTGCTGTTTCAGTCAGTGCACTTGTGGAAGTGTTCTAGTTTGGTCTTTTGAACTGTCTGATAAAACTGACACTTGAGATAGGATATTTTTGTTTGTTGTAACAAAGATTATTCTGAGAAGGAGAAGATATGTGCTATTATTAGAATTTACATTTACTGATGGTGTATTTTCTTGTGTCACAGTTGTTGTTTGGGATCTCTCATGGATTAGAGATGTGTTTGGATTTCACTCCATGTTGATACGACTGGGGAGCATCCAGGCTTCAGGAGGATCTGGAGTTCAGGTGCCCTGGCTGGGATTGACCTGGGTCACCTGAAGAAGGGTCTTCTGAAGGCACAGGCCTTCCAGGAGAAAGGACAGACTTTACTCAGACCACCCTCAAACCCATGAGTTGTCAGCTTGTGGTGTTGAGGAACAAGATGAGTGATTATCAGGTGAAATGTCCCTTTTTTACCTATTAGTGAATCACACACACAGAATCACACAGAATTGGCATGGTTGGAAAAGACCTCCTAGATCCCAGAGTCCAACCATCAGCACAAAAAAACTTCCCACCACCAAAACCAACCCCCCCCCCAACACACACACCCAAATACCAAACAAAAAACCCCCCACCAACACAAACACAACCCAAAAGCCCTTGGCCACTAGAGCATGTCCTGAAGTGCCACATGTACACGTTTCTTGAACACCTCCAAGGATGGTGACTCAACCACCTCCCTGGGCAGCTGTTCTAGTGCCTGGTCACTCAGTAGAGAATTTCTTCCTAATGTTCAATCTAAACCTCCCCAGGCACAACTTCAGGCTATTTCCTCTGGTCCTGTCATTAGCCACTTGGGAGAAGAGGCCAACTCCCACCTCCCTACAACCTCCTTTCAGGTCGTTGTAGAGGGCAATGATGTCTCCCCTCAGCCTCCTTTTCTTCAGACTGAACAACCCCAATTCCCTCAGCCTCTCCTCATGGGACTTGTTTTCTAGACCCTTCCCCAGCTTGGTAACTCCTCTGGACACACTGCAGCCCCTCAGTGTCCTTCTAGTGAGAGGCCCAGAACTGATCTCAGTGCTCAAGGTGCAGCCTCACCAGTGCTGAGCACATGATCACAGGGGCACCATCACTTCCGGGCTGGCCATGCTGTTCCTGCTGCAGGCCAGGATACTGCTGGGCACACTGCTGGCTCATGTTCTGCCAGCTGTCCACCATCACCCTCAGGCCCTTTTCTGCTGGGCAGCTCTCCAGCCTCTCTTGCCCCAGGCTGTAGTGTTGCCTGGGGTTATTGTGACCCAAGTGCAGGACCTGGCACTTGGCCTTGTTGAACTTTACACAGCTGACCTCGGCCCATCGATCCAGCCTGTCCAGGTCCCTCTGCAGAGCCTCCCTATCCTCTAGCATATCAGCACTGCCACCCAATTTGGTGTTGTCTGCAAACTGACTGAGGGTGCATTTGATCTCCTCATCCAGATCACTGATAAAGATGCTGAACAGGACAGGCCCCAACTCTGAGCCCTGATGGAACACTGTTGGTGACCGGCCCCCAACCTGATTTTACCCTGTTTACCACAACTCTCCACGCCTGGCCAGCCAGCCAGTTTTGTACTCAGTGAAGAGAACACTTATCTATGCCGTGATTCACCAGCTTTTCCAGGAGATGCTGTGGAAGATGGTGTCAAAGGCCTTACCAGAGTCCAGGTGGACAACGTCCACAGCCTTCCCCTCATGCAGCATGTGGGTCACATGGTTTTAGAAGGAGATCAGCTTGGCCAAGCAAGACCTCTCTGTCATAAATCCATGCTGGCTGGCCCTGACTGCCGTACACTCAAGATGAGCCTCTCCGTGATCTTTCCCAGTACGGAGGTCAGACTGACAGTCCTGTCATTCCCTGGATCCTCCTTCCAGCCCTTCCTGTAGATGGGGTCACATAAGCCAGCCTCGAGTCATCTGGGATCTCCCTTGTTAACCAGGATTGTTGATAAATGAAGGAGAGAAGCTTAGTGAGCTCTCCTGCCACTTCCCTCAGCACTCTGGGGTGGATCCCATCAGGCCACATAGACTTGATCTCTGCACTCCTCTTTAGTTGCCTGTTCCTTCTTCCAAAGGTGGTAAGCTGACCTTTTTTTTCCTAAGTCCCAACAAAAGCTCCTTGTTCAGCCAGGCTGGCTGTCTTCCCTGCCCTTTGATCTTTTAATACATGGGACACATGGGATGCTTCTGGGCCTTAAAGATTTCCCTCTTGAAGAGTGTCCAGCCTTCCTGGACCCCTTTTCCCCTCAGGACTGTCTCCCAAGGAACTCTCAACCAATGTCCTGAACAGGCCAAAGTCCACTGCCCAGAAGTTTTGGCTAGCCCCTCTCCTTACATCACTAAGATTTGACAACTTCACCATTTTGTGATGGCTAAGCCCAGGACGTCCTCTGACCACCACATCTCCCACTAGTCCTTCTGTGTTTGTGAACAGGAGGTTCAACGAGGCACCTCCCCTGGTAGTCTCACCAGTTGTGTCAGGAAGATACCTTCTGTACACTCGAGGAACCTCCTAGACTGTTTCTTCTCTGCTTTGTTGTACTTCCAGCAGACATAAGGTAGGTTGAATTCCCCCACCAGAACAAGGGCTGGGAATTGTGAGACTTCAGCCAGCCCCTTGTAGAGTACTTTATCTGTCTCCTGGTCCTGGCTGGGTTGTCTGTAACAGACTCCCAGCACCATATCTGCCTTGTTCACCTTCCACTTCATCCTTACCTATAAACACTCAACGTCATCATCACTATAATCAAGCTCTGTACAACTGAAACACTGTGACGTACAGAGCCACCCCACCGCCTCTCCTTCCTTGCTTATCCCTTCTAAAGAGCTTATATCCATTCATTGCAGCATTCCAATTTTAACAGTCATCCTGCCACATTTCCATGATGGCAACTGTGTCATGGCTATCCTGCTGCACAGGGGCTTCCAGCTCATCATGTTTGTTGCCCATGCTATGTGCATTAGAGTAGATGCAATTGAGCTTGGGCTATCTATTTTACCCCCGTCCTTGGCACTCTGCAGAGTTTCATCCTGGAAACTGCTCTCAGGGAGCCAAAAGATTTCTCAAAGTCACGTCATGTTTGGTACAACTCCGTGGAAATTCAGGTGTGCTTTTATCTCTGTGTGTGGGCTGGTGGCTGCATTTTTCTATTTGCGTGAGGGTATCTTTCAGCTGTTCAGACCAGTGAGGGAGAGCTGCTTTAAATATTTGCAAAACAGTTTTTTTCACCAGGGAAACACTAAGTATGTCTGTACTGCCTCTCTTCTTGGTAGAAACTAAGAACATTTTTATAGAGTCAAGTTAATGTTGATGTAAGTTAGATAAGAGTCCTTAATCTTCTGCTTCAGTTTTACTAAATAAATGACTTGTCTTTAAATAAAATGCCTATAAGGATGAAAATCTGAACATCTGTTCATAGTTTTTAAACTATTTGTTGCTTTTTACAGAGCTCTGTAATGCTCTTCTAAAATTGGCTGCATGGAAAATGGGAGGTATTTCCCAAGGGAGCATTTCCCTGAGGACTACAGTAATCCTGAGAATTGGATTAATTTAAGGATCCTTTTTCTGATTGTCAAAATGAAAAATTTCACACTCTGTTCCTGAAGCTCAGGCATTGTTGGTATCCAACTGTGGCCATTATCTGTACGGGAGCTAAAATAACAAATTGTGACTTGCTGTTTTGAGTGTCAAATACTACATGTTAGGCATCTGCTTCATGAGGAAATAATCTCTCTTCCTGAGGTTGCCATTGCGTGAAATGGCTCCTGTTAAGAGAGCAGAACAAGGTTTTCATCTTGAGTGGCTTTTAAAGCTCAGTGGTGGGCTTTATAATGGGACTGGAGGCTTGGTTTTGAACAAGATGAATTTAAATAGCCAGGAGTTGGCCTCTTTCTTTGTTGTGGCTCTCTGTCACCGTTTGACTCAGGTCCGACAACAATGCTCTCGATCCCCTCCCCCCCCCACCCAGGTAGGGAAGGAGAGAGAGAAAAAGAGAGAGACTTGGCTGGATTGAAAACTAAACTACACAGCTTTAATTAAAACACTAATGAATGATACAAGAAAATATATACAATTATATACAGATATGTTCAGGTATGGGCAAAAGCCTCTCGCCTCCCCCCACCCCAGCAACTCCCACAGCACTTCCCTGAACCGGGAAGAGTCCCGAGGAATCCCGAAGCTGCTGCTGGAACAGAGCAGAGAGTTATGGGGGTCAGGAGAGATCAAGGCTGAGGATCGACGGTGATGGATGAACAGAGTCCTCCCTGGACGCCGGCCATGGACGGAAGAGAAGGGGAGAAGAAGAAGGAAGGAAGTTGTCCTCTGTGATCTCTGACCTTCCTCTGAGCTTACGTAGATATATGGAATGGAATACCTTTGGCCAATTTTGCTGTCTGTCTAACTCAGCCTCCTACGGGGGGGTCACAGATCTCCCCACAGTGTCTGAGCTGGCAGAGTGCAGGTGCAGCCTTGAAGCCTCAGTAGTTAGAAAAACATTCCACTGTCTTATCAGCCTAGCAGAACACACTGTTGCTAGTTACAAGAGAGCTTACTGAAGGAAAAAAAAAATCAATAAAAAGAAAAATTTGCTTCATTCTGGCCCAAACCAGGACACTCTCTAAGACAAAATACTGTCAATTCAACTCCCTAAATTGCCAGTTAATTAGGTGCTGCCAGGAACTTGTGACGTGGACACCACCACCAGTGTCACCTCCCTTGTTTGAGGGCTTCCTGAAGGAGAAGTGTTGAGCCCTTCCCCACTTTACCAGCAGACCTCTTTGCTGGTGGTTGTCTCTTCCAGCTGTGTATTCCTCACTTCTTCCTGTGGT